GAATGGCCAGACACAGCAAAATCCGAGTTTTGAATTTTCAAGTCAGAAAAATCTACAATAGGGTCAGGGTACTGCGCTGGTCCAGGAACATCTTGGTCGCCAACACCACTCAGCACGCCGAATCCACTACCTCGTCCACGGCCTCCGCCAAGGCCTCCGCCACACATGCCACGCACGCCACGATCAGCTGTTCCATCAGCTGGCTGAGCTCGACCAGCGCCGCGAGCAATTTCTCCGCGCAGCGCGAGCGGAGCACGTCCACGAACTGGCTGCACTTGCCCTCGCCCTGCAGCTTCTTAAAGCTCATCGTCGGAAATTTTGCCCTCATCTGAAGAGCTGCCGTTCTCAAGAAATTCACCGAAACCAAGTCATCGTTGAGTCGGTCTTCCTCATCTGATGACGACAGGTTTCCGTCCGAGAAAAGAGCGTCAGATTATTCACCATCGTCGTCTTCTGATTCTTCTTCTACAAGGACATCATCGGCCTCCAGCTCTTCAAACAACTCAAGCGCTCCTGCAGCATCCATGACGGAGGTCAGCTGTAGTAGCCATGACCTGTGCTAGTCGAAAACGAAGCGAAACAGCAACGTTTTGTTCGTGTTACGGGACGCGTGCGCACGCTCGATTGACTTCCGCTGATCTGCACAATCGTCGTTGATCACGACTCGACTTTTACAAATGCAACCCCCCCCCCCCCTACTTTCTCTATTGCTATCTACAGGCCAGCTTTTACTACTGAAGGGTCTCTGTACAAAAAATCAGGCACCTGCGATGTACATGATTGGCTCTGTGCTCGATTTTAGTATGCACTGTCAGCATAGGTCGAAATTGACCTACCCACACCTAAGGGCTAATACCATTCCTCTACACTACTGCTCATTAATGCCATTCCTATACCCTACTACCAAGAGTACATAACCCCCCAGAGTGTGCAACGCTGATCCAGCTCTGCATAGGGTCTTGGTCGAGCGGAATCGGATCTGATGTCATGCGTACACTCCACACCAGCGCAAGGCCGGTCTCGAGGCAGGGCACCATTGATTTTGATCCGAGAGTACCCGCGAATTCCCGGGTTCCTCTCAGATGTGTACGGTATTATGACGCAAAGATCCGATTCCGCTCGACCAAGACCCTATGCACAGCTGGATCAGGCGTTGCACACTCTGGGGGGTTATGTACTCTTGCTACTACTTATTAATGCCATTCCTATACACTGTGACTTATTAATGCCATTCCTATACACTATGACTTGCACAAGGCACAGATCACCAAGCATCGTTTGTTGCAACTAATAGTTTCCTCCCCATAGGCAATCAGCAGACAACTGACACAGGATGAACAGCCAAGAACCGATTATATGCAGTAGTGTTACAGAGTCAGCGATGTGTGTAAGGGCTTGGTCAGACTGCGGCAAATTTTGGTTGCCTGACGAAAACAGAAAAGCGTCCAGAATTAGAATCGCGATCACACTACTCATGTGGGGAGAATGAAAATTCAAACTTCATTTCGAGCGTCAAGTGGTAATCTCCACGAACGACGTCAAATTCCTGCACCTTGGGATCACCAACACCTTCAGTGCAATCCTTGCAACCATCCTTATGAGTGTTGTTGTTGTCCATGGCCAATTAGCTCCTCGATATCGAGATGAAAAAATAGGTGAACATCAGCGTCAATGGTGTATCAGCGTCAAATTCCTGTTGGAGCGGAAAAGCGTGGTCTGTTCTTGCTCTTTTTAGAGCGTCAACTCCCGCTTTTGCCGCTCTGGCGGCAAGTTACTATGGCGATTCGGATTATAATCCTAGGATTATTTCGATTTTGACGTAGTCTGACCAGGCCCTAAGCAAGAGTGAGGAATTTCATACATGGATTCAGCGGGCATAGCAAGAGTGATTACGGTCACACCGTTGTACTTGCCAAGCAGGAACTTTGCGGCATGGCAACACTTGGACACAATCTCCGTGCGTTTGTTGAGTGAGATTCTGCGGTCTGGTGCTACGATATGGTACTTCTCGGCTATGCAGAGGTTGTAGCGCCTTCCGATGTTGGAGTAGGCACTAGCACGCTCCTTGACAGCGCAGGAAATCGCGTATGGTATATTTTGGCGTTTAAGGCTCCACACATACCTAGCCAGCTGAGTGCTGCTATCATAGCGCTCATGACTTATCGTGGTCATGTGGGTGGAGTGTCTGCTCTTGAACTCTCGCGCCGACATCCCAACTGCCCGACTTGTTGCTTGCCACGTACACCAAATTGATGGTCCTGCATGCACCATTCACTGGGCAAAGCGCTGCAAAATGGCAATTGCATGGTAATTCAGCACGTTTCGGTTGCAGTACTTTCTTGTTGTGTCCTTTTATTCTGGTTTCCATGCTCGGCATGCAGCTATAGCTCACCTTTACGGTATTGCGGTTGAAGAGCTTTCTCACTCTGGATTCATTGGGGAAATGCTTCAATATCAGCGCGAGAAGCTGTCCGGCGATGTTTGTTCTGACGTTCGCACTGTATGGAGGGTTGAACCATATCACATTTCGCTATCACCCCTTCCTTCCACGCGGCTGCTTGTCTTCACAGCTGTAGGTTAGAGGTGTGGTGTGTCCGCCGGCGGCAAGCGCGTTGGCATACTCCGGCGCCGCTTCCTCAAACTCCTTCCTGGAGCTTGATATCGAAGACAACCGCTTGTTGATGCCCGCTGGTATGTTTTTCAGGACCTGTGGCGGATAGCTGGACTGAGTGCTAACATACAAGTGGCGTCATTGCGTTTCCTGTATGGCTTGAATGTTCCCGATCGTAAGCACATGGCGATTTCCAGATACATTAACCCTTTCCGGACTGATGCCGCACATGTGCGTCAAAACGTCATACCCTGATTTCCTGATGCCGCATATGTGCGTCAAGTAAAAGCGCATACTTGTACAGTGCATATACATCACTGTTCAAATTGTCGTAACTCCATTGTCCTTTATCCGATTGTCGCGAATGATGGCTCATTGGAAAGGTGAGAGAATAAGCTTTCCAGTGGTATATCGTTTGATATAGCGCGGTGCAGAATCACTGAGTATCGAAGAACGAAACACGGATACGCTTGAAATTGTTTCGAAAATTTGTACGCAGAGCGCTTCAAAGTGCGTCGGCGTGCCTCAAACGGGGACTTTCCCAGTGACTCATCGCTGCACAGCGCATGCGAAGTAGAGATCAAATGAATCGCTTGAGCTTCATGAATCTGCAGGACTTTGAATCATCGTTCTACGTTGAGTAAAAATTGTAAAACGATAAAATTTGTGGAGGTGGGTACAGAAGCTCGCTCAGGCGCAATAGGGCAGCTCTCAACAGGCCTGAAGGCGATTCTGTTGCTCCTGCCGGGTGTCTAGTGGCGATATTCAGAGAGAGGACATCTGTAGCTTTCCAATGCGACCAAAAAGAAATAATTACGAAACTGGTGAGTGAAATTAGATAATTTTCAAAGGCTACTGGGACTATTGCGTGTGGCAGGGCGGCCGGTGGCAGGAATCAGGGGATTTAGCACCAGGGCGCAAAAGGTTAACAGTGCTCATATTGGATGCAATCGTGATTTTCAGCCCACATGCTTTGAAGACTTCAGTGACCTGCTTCCTTTTCTGTCTGCCATGCGCCCACAAGCGTCCTTCAGTACTGCCAGACCGTCGTCCCAATACAGACCCACAGCCTGGGCGGTCTGCTGAGGTGCACAGTGAGCTTCTCGAGAATGTAAAGAACGACTAACTCACAAAACTCCGCACCGTCATATGCACCCATGGTGACATCGAACATGTCTCCCCTTCCCTGCTCCGACCACACCCGGCCATCTGAGCATAGCAGCAACTCCAGGCAAAGGTGTATATGATGTCCTGGCTCATTTGCACGTGTGTCTGGGCGAAGTTCAAGGCGTCGAGGAGGAGCTCCTTCGTGATGGATTGATAGAAGTTTACTATATCAGACACCAGGAAGGAGTGCCGTTCTTCTCCTTGATGTCCTTGAACAACATCTGCAGTACATCTCCATTGCCTTGCACCGTTCGGAATGAATATTGAGCACTGTACCGAGCCAGAGGACTCTCATTTGCACTATCCCATACTTACGCCATCCCTATGCACTACTATGAATCTCTTACTTATGCATGTAGAGTCGAGTCTGTAGAACAAGTGAGCATGATCGTTTGTCCGAATCTGGCCAAATCCAGAGTAGTTGTACTTGGAGTACAATCTGATCACATCGACCCCCACACAGTGGGTGGCTGGAGTATAATTGGACTTTGGCGTTTTTTCACAGATTTCCTAGAATTTTGTACGATACGCGTAATTTTGTGTACTACACCCTTGATTTGTTCGATTGGGCTAGCATTGCTCGGACCACACTGCCTGCTCACACTCAATCCAGATTCGCCAATCGAGGACACCCTAGATATACTTATTCGGCTCTGATTACGCTTGTAATTAGTTTGAAACGCCTGGAACAACCTGAGCCAACAATTTGATATTGAAAGATTTAAAAAGTATGAATCCCACAGACATCGCGACGCAATATGACAACTTGTAAAACGTTCAGGTGTTCCCATGTCTAGACTCGATCTCCTTGTTCTATTCTTCAGTGAAAACTACCGGACTGGGGTCACAAATTCATGACCCCTCGCCTAATGACCACAGGCACTGAGTCTCGCTGCCCGAATTGAATACGTTCACACACATGAGAAAATCTGGTGGGACGGGATGGTTGCCATGATCGCAAGGTCACGGGAATTCTGAAATTTGTTCGTTTGATCTATTTAACAGATTGTGATTAGTTTGCAATAGCACATTTCAACCAGGCCATTCAAATAGATTTGAAAAGTGAGCAGTGACTATAAAAGGTGAACCGTACATCTTGCTTGCTTAAGCTCGTCTGGGTAAGTGGCTTTATGAGCGATTAGTGTAACCTTTCGTTTACTGTTTTCTAGCTGTGACCTGCCAGGTATCAACTATCAGTAACGGGATATCTAGCCAAACAGGGATGATCAGATATCAAGAATCAGTAACCTACACCTGCAATACTGGCTACACACTGAGTGGAATGAACACATCAACATGTGCAGCTAACGGTACTATACTAACACCCAGTTGTCTAGGTGAGCAAAACGGTATCAATGTACTGTTCTGCTCTCGATTCTCTTTTGTTTCTCTCCATATTATTCAGTTCGCAGTGGTTGGCTACCACCCGACTTCTCATAAATATTGGCAGTCTAATTACGATGAGCCTGGTCCCACCTTCTGGATTCTTCTCAGTTGTGCCTCGCCTAGTCTCTGGTTTCTCCTCAGATCCTTTTTGCTTCCGTTTTCGTTTCATTCTCCTGGTGTGTGCCCGATTCAGCAGCAATGCAAAATAAGAAGATTAAAGTAGATTATCGTGTCCATTCCCGAAGGAAACTGACGACGGCCGCTAACACTCGGTGAATGCTAGCGGCAGATTCAGCATCTAACGGTGGGGATGAGTGGATAAGGCTCACAACCGCTGGCACAAGTGCCGAGAAAGACGCCGCTAGACGCATCCATGTACCCCTTGTGCCCGGCCACAAGTTCCTAGTGGACTGTGGGTAGCAGCACGGCTGGAGAAAACGCTCCCATGCAGAACTTGAACCAGGTACCTCCGGTATCTCAATCATGGTCATTGACCAACCCACTGTGCCTGCATGGTTGCAATATACTAGGAGTCAAATGTCTAGTCGAGATTTTGCAAGGTCACATTGCATACGGCAGCAAAGCATGTATATTTTTATTTACACAGTTGTCTAAAGTCCCTATGCTGCTTACAGTGCTCAATGCCCACTGGACAAAGCAAGTAATACAAATATTACACAGCGATGAATCAAACAAGTCTCATTCCGCTGTTACTCCGAGTTTCGTGTCAGAACACTTCATCAGACAAAATAAATATATGCTGTCTGATGAAGTGTTCTGACATGAAACTCGGAGTAACAGCGGAATGAGACTTGTTTGATTCATTGCTGTGTAATATCTGTATATTTTTATTTAAATGCACAACCAACTACACACGGGCTGCAAGCCCAATTACATTGAAGCGAATGTGATAATGGCATTACTTTAGTAAAAAAGGTGGCGGAAGGAGGCGGACGGTGGCAAACCAACAGGGATGGAAATTCAGGAGCAAAATTAACAATTACACAAATAAGAGAGTACCTGGCTGAGATCAATGGTACCTGCATGTTAGTACATGCATTTTAGTATTTCGGTAACATTTGGACTGGGTACCTCCGCTAGGCTCAAAAGCAGAATCTTTTTGTCGATTTGACAGGTGACAATGATCTCGTACAGGAAACCAGTGTTTTGGGCTGATGTTCACTTATTGTTATTCCCCATGTCAGTGAATTTCTTGTGTGTTTCTATTATATACAGCTGTCAATTGTACCATACCTAATATCACAAATGGGCAGCAAGCTGTATCGGAAATATCTTTCCAGCAAAGAGCCAACTATTCATGCAATGCTCATCATGTGTTAGTTGGAGATGCACGGCCAACATGCCAGGCTAATCGCACGTTGACTTCAACACCCACATGCAAAGGTGAGCAACGTGTACTTCGCTAAAGTTGAAATTTCTCCAACTTTAGCGACAGGAACCTTGCAGCTCGCGGCAGCCATTTTCATGTCTCAGCTGTTTCAAGTCACGTGTCAGGTCGCAAAAAGTGGCATAATGAATAGGCCTTAGTAAGGTAAGATATCGGACAAATTAGTGAGGTTCTGCTCCAGGTTACGGGGTTGCGACGCGAAGAATCTCCGGACCTCTCTTCGCGTTTCCGTGATGCAAAGAAAATCTGTTCTGGTCCACGTCACATAGAGACAGCACGCGGAATGTGTACTGGGAATTTCTCCTTCCATATTTGGTATTTGATCGATGCCCAGCAGGTCTCTATGCTTTTCTCTGCATGTGCCACATTTTAGAGAACTACTCGTAGAAATCTGGACTAAAAAAAAGCGAAGATGTAGACTCTAGTCCAGACACCTAAAAATGTGAACCATACAGCTTGCTTAAGAGCGCCTAGATCTATTGCTTTATGAGCTATTAGTAAAACCTTTCATTTAAACAATAGGCCTGGAACCTCTCTGCCCTTTCATTTACTGTTCAACCTTTCATTTACTGTTTTCTAGCTGTGACCTGCAAGGTACCAACTATCAGCAACGGGAAGTCTAGCCAAACAGGGATGATCAGATATCAAGAATCGGTAACCTACACCTGCAATACTGGCCACACACTGAGTGGAGTGAGCACATCAACATGTGCAGCTGACGGCACTATACTATCACCCAGTTGTCTAGGTGAGCAACCGTGTAACAATGTGTCCTGATTAGATGACGGGGATAACAAAGTGTGCCAGCCTGTCAACATTTTCCTGTGCATCCCGTGTCACAGCTACTACTGACTATCTATGTTTAACTTGCCTTTGTTTGTTCGTTGACGTCGGTATGATAGGGCTTTCAACTGCAAGACTTTAGCATGAAGTAACTTGGAAGAATGTGTGTGGATGCAAAGTGTATCAGCATAAAAACATGCATGGCGATAGTTCCGGTTCGAAACACATGTTATGGTTATTTTATTCCCGCAGCTATGCAGAAGACGATACTTCAGTAACGTCTGGCGCTAGCCAGGGTCCACACAGCTTTAATCTGGTGTTTGTTTGTGTGTTTGTGTGTTTGTATCACGCCTGGCGCTATCCCGTATCTGTCCCGTACCGTACCGTACCATCAAACACAGCTGGCCACATACAGCTGGCTGCAATATTCAAATAGGGCTTTCAAACGCAAGATCATAACGTGAAGCAACTTGGAAGAATGAGTATGAATGCGAAGTGTATGGCGGAATGCATGTAGGGCGATAGTGCGGGTTCGAATCCCAGGTAATGCCTGAAAAATAGGAGAATTGAAAAAATTATTTTATTTATTCCAAGCAATACATGGCTGGGGTAGCCAATGACCACTCTGTGTGGCGATTGTAGGGTTTTTACAGCCAACCACGGCTAATTTATAACATCTGTTTTCTTTTTTTGCCGTCATCAAGGCGGTAGACGGTGTCGTATCACCCTCGACCATACCTGTCCCGTACCTGTCCCGTACCTGTCCCGTTCCGTACAGTACAATCAAAGTCGGCTGGCCACAATGCATATTCAAATAGGGCTTTCAAATACAAGATCATAACGTGAAGCAACTTGGAAGAATTAGTATTTTATGCGAAGTGTATCGGGGGATGCATGCAGGGCGATAGTGTGGGTTCGAATCCCAGGTTATGTCTAAAAACAAAAAGTAGAAACTTATAAGAATTTATAACATCCCTATTTTTTTGTCTAGGTCATCAAGGCAAAAAAGTATAGCGGGGGCCCTGAGCTTCCAAGCTCTCTCGTTCTATTTTTTATTTATATTCTTATTTTACTAGGGAATTCCCAACAGGCGTCATCGCCATACACACACTACAATGTAGGCTAGTTAGGTCTATATCATTTCTCTGCTCTGTCGAATTCCGTGGCACGGCCGTTATTCCCACATAAGGTTCCTTGTTTATGCAGCGATAAGGGTTGGTTTACATATCGCCGGTACGCGTCGGGAGTCACCAGCGGCGGGCCTCTTGAAACATCTCCCGGCGCATTGCGATTATGGGAACCAGTGAACGCCAATCTTTTGAACCAGATGAAGCATCCGTCGCTTCGTGTCATCCTCAACGGCCGCGAGAAACAGCAGCAACTTTGTTGGATACAGGTGACCTTCAGCAAGGAGGAGAAGCGAGTCCAACCAAACTGCTAAGCAAAGCTTACATACTCTTGCTGTAATGCAACAACCACAAGCGTATCTCAACATATTTTACTTCTCAAACTCGAAAAGATCTATGGACCACAGGCACAACTTAGTCGAGTGACGGAATTGAAAATAATTGCTGCTACATGCTGAACCTCTTTTTCATTCGGATTTTTTGCGCAGTCTTTCGTTTTATCACATTCGTAATCGAACCAAAAATTCGATTTGCTGATGCTCCTTATTTTAATGCTGTGGATTTCGGTAGTGAGCATACTTCTCAATCCATGACAACAAGCTGTGTGTGCCTGCACTTCTGGATGAATTTGTCGTTCCCAGATGAACCCAACAATCCCCAGGCATCGGGAACGGGCGTGGGAGCTGGCCCTATTTTAGGTGCAGTATTTGGATTTGCTGCCTTCCTGGGTGTGGTGCTAGCTGCCTTGAACATGAAGCGAATCAAGGAGGTGGCGTTAATTATCCCCAAGAAAGCAAAGAGCCAGCGTTTGTCTCGAGCTGCCGCTAATAACTGTCGAGGTGAGTGTTGTCTACTTAAGAGAGCATGTCTGAGAATACCAAAGTATGTGTGCAAGTGGATCTCTCCGATTTCGCTCAAAATTTGCAGGTAGGTTCCCTTTCGGGTGTGGATCGATTGTGCAAAGCCCTTGAAAAAGTTTCTGAAGGGAACCTTGAAATTTGCATACCCCTCAAAAATGGCCGAAATATCACATTACTTATGGGTCTAGAAACGAGTCACGCCACAGCGTATACGAACAAGCTATGAACAAAACTCCATCAAGCCAACATTGCCTCACCTTAGAAGAGTTCCTGGAGCAGTACCGCTTAGCCACGCCAGGATCCCAGAAGACGAGGTCCATCACCCCCTGACGCCACAAATGATCGTCTTGAAAATAGCCAATTTACAAGCGCTAGCAAAACAGCCAGCTACGTCCTCAATTGGCCAGAACTATACACCGGCAGATAGTAGAACACCTCTTCTAGCGCTGAGGACATGTCCCCCATCTTCCTTTTGGGGTTTTCTTGAAATAAACCTTTTTGAATTTTTCCACTCGACCATGCTGAAATACGGCCAAAGTCATACCTGCGCAGGAAAGCTCGCCCCTCCGCGACGTCTCCTCAGCAATTTCTACTCCAACACTACTCCCAAGGCCGCAGAACAAAGTGTATTGTTGACTCTGACAAGAAAAAGCAGCGGTGATCACTTGTCACTCTAAACGACAAGCTTCTCCTTGCGCCACCAATAATTTTTTGTGCGACTGTTGATGCAAAAGTGGCTGAAGTCCTGAGCGCAGTTTTTGAATTTTATTGCAAGATACACGGTGAGATCGCGTGCTCTGTGACGTAGGATGACGCTTCCTGGATCACGACACGCGGCCATCGATCGCGAACGTGTCTGGAACGCTACTCGGAACAGACCATGATGGCAGAGGTAAGATGAGCTGCATTTCCTGCTTGATCTGCTGAGAACCCCCACAAACTGTCCTAGAAGTGTTGCAATGGCAGCAAGCCGTTGAAATATGCCCCTCGTACAGCATGGAGAGTTATTCATCTTTCACACTTACCTCCTGCAATCCCGAACATAGTCCAACGGTAAAAGTCCCTTGTTTTCATGATGATGCTCGACGAAAGCTGCTAGCTCGGTCGCTTTTTGTTGACTGGCACGAGAGCAGCACTGGCTGCACGCACTTGTCGCGTGAACTGCATGACAGATTCCTTACGTCATAAAGAATGTGATTTCATCATCATTTCACTGGTCTTCGACCTACATGGTCAGGGAAAGTCCCGGTTCGTAGGCCTACAACACGGTCAGCGTGTTCTTGAGCGCAGAAACAACACAAGTGTGATCACTTCCAGACCGACGGGCGTTCAAGGCGAGTAACAAGCGCACTTTACGAAGGTGACTCTGAAATCTCGTGAGCCGTGATCCACGGGACTTGGCATTCTTGCGTCACAAGGCACGTGATTTCACCGTGCCTCTTGTAGTAAAATTCAAAAACTGCGCTCAGGTCTTCAGTCACTTTTGCATCAACAGTCGCACAAAAGATTATTGGTGGCGCAAGGAGAAGCTTGTCGTTTGGAGTGACAAGTGATCACCGCTGCTTTTCCTTGTCAGAGTCAACAATACACTTTGTTCTGCGGCCTTGGGAGTAGTGTTGGAGTAGAAATTGCTGAGGAGACGTCGCAGAGGGGCGAGTTTTCCTGCGCAGGTATGACTTTGGCCGTATTTCAGAATGGTCGAGTGGAAAAATTCAAAAAAGTTTATTTCAAGAAAACCCCAAAAGGAAGATGGGGGACATGTCCTCAGCGCTAGAAGAGGTGTTCTACTATCTGCCGGTGTATAGTTCTGGCCAATTGAGGACGTAGCTGGCTGTTTTGCCAGCGCTTGTAAATTGGCTATTTTCAAGACGATCATTTGTGGCGTCAGGGGGTGATGGACCTCGTCTTCTAGGATCTTGGCGTGGCTAAGCGGTACTGCTCCAGGAACTCTTCTAAGGTGAGGCAATGTTGGCTTGATGGAGTTTTGTTCATAGCTTGTTCGGATACGCTGTGGCGTGACTCGTTTCTAGACCCACAAATAATGTGATATTTCGGCCATTTTTGAGGGGTATGCAAATTTCAAGGTTCCCTTCAGAAACTTTTTCAAGGGCTTTGCTCAATCGATCCACACCCGAAAGGGAGCCTAACTGCAAATTTTGAGCGAAATCGGAGAGATCCACTTGCACACATACTTTGGTATTCTCAGACATGCTCTCTTAAGAACCCCTCTGATAATACAAATAAAAATACGAATAATTTGCCAGTGGTGACCATTGTACCATAGCTAAGTGGTAGAGAGAAGGTGACCATTGTACCATAGCTTAGCGGTAAAGAGAAGGTGACCATTGCACCATAGCTTAGTGGTAAAGAGAAGGTGACCATTGTACTGCCGTATCCGGCGACCCGGAGATATTTTATTTATTTATTATTTATCGTCTCCACTTCATGGCGCATAATAATACATAGCCAATACAAGAAAGGGAGGCTGAATCCAACCACGGAAATTAGCATTATCAAAAGAAGAAAAGGAAGGGAGGTGACACCATGTGTTAACAGCAGGTAGCACAATACTATTATTGCTGAAATGCATCCTTAAAAGCTGAGAGAGACTGTGAACAGTGAATATTATAAGAGAGTTTGAGCCAACATGTGCAAGGCATAAAGACAGGTGATTTCATCATTAGGGACAATCGAGGGGAAGGTAATGATACCTGGTGTCTTGTATTTCTCTCTCGCTGGTACCAATCATGTTTCTTGAAGTGCCTGGGAATTTGCTTTTAAGAGAAATTTTCTGAACGAGTGCACACAGGTGTGCTTGGCGTCTATCAGCAAGTGGAGAGGAGGCTACGAGACAGTATACATGCTTACTGTTATGCATGAGAGATTTTCCAAATAGCCATTTAATTATTTTTCTATGGTGAATTTCAAGCTTGGAAACAGCAGCTGCATTAAGACCACACCATGCTATGACACGGTAATCAAATAAAGGCAGAATATAGCATTGGTAGAGTAGAATCTTGCAGCTGTTTTTAGATGGGAAAAATGAGAGAGCAAGGCTCCAAGAGCAGAGCTGGTACGACAACGCAGGGAGTTAGGCCCGGATCCCCGGATCCGCGGAACCAACATGACTAACCTAAGACTATCACATTACAAGGCCGTGCAGTGGTGGCCGTAACTATAATATTACATTACTAGACGTTCCAGTACCACATATACTCGCAAATATGACATATTTACACATGTTCGGGTCACACCACACCTGGTCACACACTCACTCGCCATGCCCTCACATATACAGCACCCGCATTCACACACACACACACACACACACACACACACACACACACACACACACACACACAGTGACACACACACACACACACACACACACATAGACACACACACAGTGACACACACACACACACACACACACACACACGTATGCACGCACACACACACACACACACACACACACACACACACACACGCACACACACACACACACACCATGTACCATGTATACGCCCATCGCAAGAGAAGCACGCACACACACACACACACACACACACACACACACACACGCCTATACATTCACATCGAGACTCACATCTTACGGTCAGACATAATGATCAAACGATAGTTTAAAACAAGAAAAATTGAAGTCGTGACTTGTCGTAAAGACTGAAGTTGAGAGAGAGAGAGAGAGAGAGAGAGAGAGAGAGAGAGATGGATAGATGGATAGATGGATAGATGGATAGATGGATAGATAGATACATAGATACATAGATACATAGAGGGAGAGAGAGAGACAGAGAGAGAGACAGAGAGAGAGAGAGAGAGAGAGAGAGAGAGAGAGAGAGAGAGAGAGAGAGACAGAGAGAGAGACAGAGAGAGAGAGAGAGAGAGAGAGAGAGAGAGAGAGAGAGAGAGAGAGAGAGAGAGAGAGAGAGAGAGAGAGAGAGAGAGAGAGAGAGAGAGAGAGAGAGAGAGAGAGAGAGAGAGAGAGAGAGAGAGAGAGAAGGAAGGCGATAGCAATAATATCTATTTGCGGCCATGGAAGTCCATGGCCACGAGATTGATGGCCCCGCATGCGATTGCAAACTACAGCATAAAGAGCGGGAGCCAACAGGGTATGCCCAATAAGGAAGGCTCCAGGCCTTGTGTGAAGACATAAAATAAAGCCGATTATGAATCCGTTTACGGGAGATAGATAAATAATTAGACACCTAAGCAAGGAAGACTTGTCACGTAGATGCCTAAAAGGCAACGTGTCAACAGCATGGATACGACAGTACTGTAGCCTACAGTCCATTCATTGGAAACTGTCACCCTAACTTGTAACTTGTTTGTGTCTCCCGCACATAGTTGTAGATATCGTGAAAACAACAGTACATCCTGCATTGTGTGACACCTGCAATATACTCCTTGCCACATCCGAGGCAAGAAAGGTCCAAGACCTGGGAAATAGAAATACAGCCAGGTTTTACAAAATTGGGACAGGTATTCCATGGCAAAATGTATGGAGAAGCAGATCCCAAACTCAGATTCGTGGATTTTTGATCCTCAATTCCACCGAAATCGGACTTTCAAAAGCTAGCGGGACTGTTTTGGATGAATGGACTGTAGTGATAGAGAGAGGGTGGCCATTGTACCATAGCTTAGTGGTAGATAGAAGGTGACCATTGTACCATAGCAGCTTAGTGGTAAAGATAAGTCGACCACTGTATCATAGCTTAGCGGTAAAGAGAAGGTGACCATTGCACCATAGCTAAGTGGTAGAGAGAATGTGACCATTGCACCATAGCTAAGTGGTAAAGAGAATGTGACCATTGCACCATAGCTTAGTGGTAGAGAGAATGTGACCACTGTACCAAAGCTAAAAGGCGGGGATTTTTTATGTGGAAGCTGCAAGATGGATACTCTTCCACCAGCTTGCACCATGTCTACATCATCAGCGGAATTTCGCTCAACCGACGGGCGTACGGCCAGAAATACATACAGATATAATTATAGAAGCAGTGACAAAGAGACAAACAGAGATAAATACAGACAGAGACCAAGAGAAAGAGATAGAGGGTAAAGAGATCCAGAAGCAGAGAGAGTGCATGAGATAGAGTGAAAGGGATATAGATGCAGAAGATGAGAAAGAAGTTATACTTTTTTGGATGAAGCGTTATGAGGTATGAATTCTGGAGCTGTATTGAATACATCAGTGATGATCTTGGTAAATCAAGAGCATAGCGGATCCTCCCAGTTTGCAGCTCTCTCGCTTCAAGTTTCTTGTCAAGCGGTGTTGTATTGTTTGACCAAAACATATTTTGATTGTACATTGCTTTTCTCTTCGTGTTCCTCCAGAATCCTTTGACGCAGACTCCACATCAAGCCCGTTCACAACTAACAGACGAGAAACTTGTGTTGAAGGAATCAATTTGGGCAGCTCGCTCAATGTTGTAGAAGAGAATGAACACGAGAGCAGCAACTTCAACGCTAGCATGCTGTACTCAGAGTTGAATGTTAAGGAGGAAACAAATGGGGCTTATTTGAACACTTGTAGCCCACCATCGCATCGTTTGTCCATTGTCAGTGACAGAAGCAACACCTCAAGCACTTGCATGCTGAACTCAGAGATGAATGTTAAGGAGGGAACGGATGAGGGTTATGTGAACACTTGTAGCCCACCATCGCATCGTTTGCCCATTGTCAGTGACAGAAGCAACACCTCAAACACTTGCATGCTGAACTCAGAGATGAATGTTAATGAGGAAACATATGCGGCTTATGTGAACACTTGTAGTGCACCATCGCCTCGATTGTCCATGGTCAGTGACAGAAGCAACACCTCAAACACTTGCATGTTGAACTCACAGCTAAATGTTAAGGAGGAAATATATGAGGCATGTTTGTCCACTGGTAGGACACCATCGCTGAGTCATAGCCTCGGTCGTTTGTCCACTGGCAGTACTGTCAGTGACATCTAAGCTACAGTCCAGTCGTCACGTGATCACAATATGCAGTCCAGTCATCACGTGATCACAATATTCCCCAATGCACACAACGACTGTCAGGAGAAGACATGACATATTGTGGATGGAAATCAAGGGACTCTGCCCAAGCCAGGACAGCAGACAACACCCGAGGTAGCATGGTTGAGCTTGCAGAGGAGAGCCTCAAAAAAGGCAGCGAACCTGCCAGCCACCATCCAGGATAAAACACTGGCTGTTGGATCAAAAGAGAGTGATGTGTAGAAAGATAACTTTCAGGATGACACATTGTAGAGTGGCATGTGGTTATGAGAGTGATCGTTTAAAATTAACTTCCCTTCTGGAATGATACTTGCACACGTACACTGTAACTACGCTGTATCCCCGTATCCCCGTATCCCAATATCCCCGTAGATCTGTTTCTGTTTTTGTTTCCTATACGCCCACGCCCTTTCTGCCATCGTATAACAATACCATGCTTTCTTGTTTCCTGAATCTCTTCTACGTGCGTTTCATACATGCTTGCTACAATAATATTGTCACTCGTGTTTTTTTCCTGAATGTTCACCTGACAGATAGCGTGCACATTGACAGTCGAACTTACCACTAACGTGTTGTTCGTTAACAATTGTCCAAAATAATAATTTTCTGAACAATCCTCTTCCAGTCTTACTTTAAAAAATGTTTTTTTTAACCTTCCGTCTTCCAATCGCTCTTCAGATACATGTATTGCGTTGCATCCAGCTTTTAATATATATTTTTCAGACCATGTTCTTTTCCATATAAAGTAATGTTGCCTGCCTCTCGCGCATTCCTTGTGTTGCTATTTTACACTATCAATTGTTTTTTTAAACAATGACTAATGTCTTATTTTGAGTACAGGTTAAACTTTTTCTAGGCACTCGCAGACTCCATTGCAGCCACTCACACATTAGAAGGTACCTCACTTCAAACTCTCCAACTACGGTCTCTTCGCTGCATACGTTCACTTCACTTCCCCAGAACCATAATATGTGTAGTTTTCGGCCTCAGTTTGTATATTGGTATATATATTTCCATATACACTCCAGCTCAGGGTAAATCCGACTTATAGCTACCTCAGTTTGAAGCCTAAAAAGCAGTATATATTAACAGTATGTATTTCTCCCCTATGGTGTATATTAACAGTATTTATTTCTTTGCACTGGTGTATATTTCCAGTATTTTTTTCTAGAAAATACAGTGAATATACACTGGCCGAGGCTCTCAGTGTGTGATGAATGGGGGTGTTTAGTAGGTACAAGTATGTATGTATGTATGTATGTATGTATGTATGTATGTATGGTTTTGTTCAATCTCTTCTTTGGTGTTGTTATGATGTGCTGGAGAGATGCGATGCGTCAGGCCAGCACTGATTCTGGTATATCACTGTCCTACAACATCAATGGTCAGCTTTACTCCCGTGCTAAGGGTACCCTTCAAGTGCAACTCCACGACTTTGAATTTGCAGATGATGCCGTTTTGTTGTCAATGAGTCGGGCTGAGGCTGAGCAGTCGCTTCAGACTTTTCATCGTGTTGCATCCTCGTTTGGTTTGTCCGTCAGTTCGTCGAAAACACAATTCATGGTAGTTGGTGTTGGTATTTCCCCGGAGGACAGGATGCCGATGGACATGGGTGGCGACAGCATTTCGTATGTTGAATCGTTTGTGTACTTGGGCTCCCTCATCACGCCAGACACCCGATCCTCACCTGACGTCCAGCGACGGATTGCCAATGCGGCAAAGGCGTTTGGCTGCCTCCTACCAGTGTTCCGGGATACCAGCTTGACGGTGGCAACAAAGCGTCATTTGTACACAGCCTGTGTTCTGTCGGTTTTACTCTACGGTGCTGAGTCATGGGCTCCGCTTCGGCACGACTTGGATCTGCTGGACAACTTTCACCACCGGTGCATTCGCTCCATCTTATGTGTATCTCGGCGTCAGCAATGGGAGGAGAAAATCTCATCGGCAACGCTCCGTGCGCGCTGGGGTGACACTACACCGTTGTCAGACCTTGTTCGGCGTCGGCGGTTGGAATGGCTCGGGCACGTCGCGCGCATGCCTGCAGACCGTGCTCCCGTCCAGATTTTGTTTGGAAGGTTGAGTGGTCGTCGCCCTCCTTGTGGTCCCCGGCGGCGCTGGAAAGACGTTGTCCAGAGAGACATGAGGGCAGCTGGCGTGGATTCCTGGTTTCAGAATGCCCAAGACCGGCAGAACTGGAGGATGTTCCTTGCTGAGCCACCACCGCACACAGATGATTCGCCACCTTTGCGCTGCTTGCTGTGTGCCAGAGACTTCCGCCGCCGTAACGACATGGCCCGACACAAGTGCATTGCCCAGCGGAAGTTGCCTGTGTCACAACAGAAGGGTGCCAGGCAATGTATGAAGTGCATGCGGTGGTTGAGGAGCGCTGGAGGACTGGCTGTGCATCGCTGTCCTGTGTCCACGGATGTCCCCACTGTATTCATTCGCCATGAATCTGACTCTTTGCGATGTGATGTTTGTCGCCGCTCTTTCCGCTCTCGTTCTGGTTTGAGCCGTCATCACTGTGATCGTGCGAAACGGATGTCACGTGCAGCCAGGAACAACTGCCGTCATGAATGCGAGCATTGCGAAAGACGGTTCTCAAGGCCACAGGACTTGCAACGCCATGCCAAATATTGTTGACTTTGCGATTTCTCTCTCTTCTCTTCTCTCTTCTTGTCGTTGTCTCCCGCTTCTGGGAGCGGCGTGGCCCGATAGGGTAGCTGTACATAGTAGTAGTAGTAGTAGTATGTATGTATGTATGTATGTATGTATGTATGTATAACTCTTAAAAGGTGATCGTGGGGGGCATTATTCAGCGAGAGAATTGTGAATGATGTCTCTGAATACAACTCTATCGTGTGCCGCATGAGAGAACATGCAAGGGAAGACCCGTCCAACTTTTAGTGTTAGAAATCCATGATGTCGCGGGCCTTCCTCTCGGTCGAGATCCAGGAGTTGATCCTTGCAGGAAAGTCTTGGAGAAAACGTCAAGTCTCGTAGCATGGCCAAACCACATCAACTTAAATTTCTTGACTTCGTTCGCTAGCCGCATCCTTGCTCCGATGATGTTATTTATACTTGTATATACCGTAAAGTACGGTTGATCCGCCCCCCAAGCTATGTCGCTTCCCAACTGGGTTTTCGGCAGGGGGCGGGAATTAGGTCAAGGCTGTCAAGTGCAGTACGATGTACAACAACGTAGAAATTCAGACTCGATGTGCTGGATTGTGCACATTTTCATCCTGGACTGGAAAGTATAGTGTACAGCAGTGCAAGCGTCGCTTCAACATCGTATTTCGTTGTATACGCCGAAGTCGCTTCACAGGTAGAAAATCGACATTGGGTGGGAATTAGAGAGGAGGCGGATCAACAGTACTTAATGGTATTACAGGTCTGCTCTCGATATAACAACTCTCACTTGTACATAAACCTCGTTAGTACATAAAAAAGTCAAATCCCGCGCCGAAACAGCATCACTCCCATACAAATGTTGTTCTACACAACATAATTCTACATAACATAAACCTCGACATAACACACGGTACAGCGGTCCCCGACGTGCGCACTCTCGATACAACATAAATTCACTTGCACGGTATGATCAAGCGGTAGCTGTATCTAGGCAGTTTAGGCCAGTTTGTTCCTACATAACGTAAACCTCGGCATAACGCACCCTACGGCGCGGTCCCCGACGTGTACACTCTCGATACAACGTAGATTCACGTGCGCGGCACAATCAAGCTGTAGCCGTAGCTAGCCAGTTTAGTCCTATGTGCATTATATTCTGCGGCATTGATGGTATCTGATGTCGATGGTGGTACAGTGTGTATATGTTTGCACGGTTGAACCCGCCTTGTGATACCCTTCATTTTGAGGTGCATCTTGTACTTTACACACGGTTTTCTACATAACATAACTCTCGATATAACAGTAATGTTTGCGTGGTCCCAGAGATTACGTTATATGGAGAGTAGACCTGTAGATATAAATTGAATGCACCAAATTTTCGGGCATGGCCCATCTTCAAGGTGAAAAACCATTCAACTAAAGCCAACAAAAACTTGAAACAAGTAGATATGCTGTGTGGTGCGGTAGTGCTGGAAATGTGTATATGTGTGGAGGGTAGAAGCAATGGTGAAAGGTGTCGGGAAAAAGGAAGGGAAAGCACGAGAAGTGTGGTGACCAGCAGCAATGGTGAAGTGTGTTGGTAGAAAGGGAAGGCGCGAAGGAGACAAGTGGAGAGCTGTGTCTATAATTGTGAATATGTGTTAGTGCGAGTGCGAGTGAGAGAGAGAGGGAGATAGAGATAGATAGAGAGAGAGAGAGAGAGAGTGAAGTAGATGAGTTCATCCTAGTTGACGGTACTGCCTAACAGAAAGGCCAGGCTTAGCGATTTGAAAGTGGTGCGCTTTCTTTGGAGGCGTGCTGTGTCTGGGAGCTGGTTCCACAGGATAGCTCCAGCATGGCTACTGATGATGCGCCTAGCTGAGGATGCAGTGGGAGACACAGGAATGATGAGTAGCTTGCTGCTCCCTCCTCGTGTTCGGAGAGAGGGACTACGGGTGAAAAAGCTTGCAAACAGAGTACTTGAAAATTTGTTCAGGTAGCGCTAAATGAATACAAGAATGTGCAATTGGGTGTATATGCTGAGGATATGGGCATTCATGCGTTCAAGTAAGGGAGCCGTGTGAGTGCGAGGGGCTGCCCTGCACACGGAGCGAGCCGCACGTTTGAACAAACTATTTAGGCGCTTAGCCTGATAAGACGATAAGAAAGGGGCATATGCAGCAGAGGCATAGTCAAATTCTGATAATAATTATAAAGGACCTGAAACTGAACGCGGCAAGAAAAAGGCAAACATGCTGCACTTCTATTTAGTAGCCCAATCTTAGCGGCAACGCGGCGTGCAACATGGCTTGCCATGGTGTTGCCACACTGCCATGGTGTTCCAG